AATTGATGTATTTGAATTATGGTGTTGGTGAAGAATATTGAATATACCATGGACTGCCAGAAGAACGAACAAATCTGTCTTGGAAGAAGTACAGCTGGAATGCTCCTTAGAAACAAGGATGACGAGACTTTGTCTCACATACTTTGGACTTGTTATCAGGAGGGACCAGTCCCTGGAGAAGGATATCATGCCTGGTAAAGTAGAGAGTCATTGAAAAAGAGGAAGATCCTCAATAAGATGAGTTGACGCAGTGGCTGCAGTAATGCGCTAAAGCATAACAACGATTGTGAGGATGGCCCACGACGGGGCAGTGTTTCTTTCTGTTGTACACAGGGTCACTATGAGTTGAAACCAACTTGATGGCACCTAACAACAACAACAACAACATTCTGTCCTCTAGGATCTTTCTGAGTTGGAATCAACTCAGTGTCAATGGGTTCGGTTTGGTATGTATATACTCTATTGGTTCTGTTTATCTAGAGAACCTAAAACGATCTACTTTGTCAGAGAATTCTTACACAGAGCAAATGGAGCCCTACTGGCCCACAAGGTCGGGAAATCCTGTGGATACATACAATGAATTTGCATTCAGGAGGCTTCCAACAACCTCCCACGGTATCACAGCTAGAGTGGTATACAGAGATATCACAGCAGTCCAGGGTTCCGGCCACTTTCCCAGAGTGATGTGTAAAGTGATGAGTCAGGAATCTTTATCTCTAGCTCAGACATTGCCCGCATTTCTACTTGAATATCCCACAGGCACCTCAAACACACATGTCCCAAACTGAATTCATCTTCTCCCCTAAAACCAGCTCTTTTGTCAATATTCTCTACCTTTGTGGTCTCACCATCATCCTTCCATCATCTAAATTAGAAATACTGACTCCACTCTCTCTCCTGCCTGCTACAGCCAACCAAACTCTAACCTTGGATTTTTATCTACCAAACATTTCTTGAACCTCCCTGTCTTCACCATCCCTCTATCACTGACTTGCCTAGTGTCCTTATCTTCACTTGCCTGAATAACTTTAAGAGCCTCCTATCTACTTTCCCTATCTCTTCAGTTCTTACCCTCCTCTTCTCAGTATCCCTCCACACCACGCCCAGAACGATCAATCTAATACGCAAATATGGTCATGTCAGACCTTTGCTTAAAACCCCAAGTGCCTTCTCACCCTCCACAGGAGAAAATTCTAACTCCTTGAGGTGCCCAAAAAACCAGCCAAGGGCCTGGCCCCTTCCTTCTTGTCCATTAGAGGCAACTGCCCTTTTATTTTCAGGCGACACTGCTCTGCTGGTCACTCCCCACCTGCTGGGGCTCTTTCTCATTTCTGTGTCTTTGTTTATGCAGTCCCTTCTGCCTGGGATGCTGCCCCACTTCCTTCATCCAGCAAATTATCTGTCCCAGTGGTGTGCTGGTAAATGTTCAACAACTAGCTCTCCAAGTCAAAAAAAAGCCCTAATTTGTAACATTTTCTTATTTCCATGGTGTAAATACTCCCTCCCGCCATGGCCAATTTCAAACTACTGATGAAGTCACTGAATGGGAGTTGGGAGGAGATGCCACAATTGGAGAGCCAGTGAGAGCCAACTCCAGAACACCATGAACTTCGAGATACCTCCTCCAGGAAGTCTGGCCCCTGCCTGAATGATCCAGTGGCATCTTAGGGTTGACGTCACCCAGTGCGGGAACTCATGGTGTCACACACACCACCCCCCTCTCCATGGACCTCCTCCATGTTGGGGGCTGATTTGCAGAATCCTTAGTAATATTTATTATCAATTTTAATCATAGAATAATATGTGATAAATATAGTTGTAAATTGCTTAAATGTAATATTTCTTAGATTATATGAATACTAACAACGAAACTGTTTCATAAAATCTTTTCTATGTTGAATTACAACATCATTAGTAACTTCCTGGACATCTGCTACTCAACCTGTGCAGTCCCCCTCATTCTTGACAGTTTCCTCACTCACTGGAGAACTATCTCATTTTCAGCCTGTTTTGGGCAGATGTTTCTCTCCTTTGCCATGGGAGCCACAGAGTGTGTACTCCTGGGCATGATGGCATTCGATCGATATGTGGCCATCTGCAAACCCCTTAGATACCCTGTGGTCATGAGCAAGCCTGCCTATGTGCCTATGGCTGCTGGTTCGTGGGCAGCTGCTATCATCAACTCTGTAGTACAGACATCCCAGGCAATGCAGCTGCCCTTCTGTGGGGACAATGTCATCAACCACTTCACCTGTGAAATCCTGGCTGTCCTAAAGTTGGCCTGTGCTGACATCTCCATCAATGTGATCAGCATGGTTGTGGCCAACATGATCTTCCTTGCAATCCCAGTCCTGTTCATTTTTGTCTCCTATGTCTTTATCCTTGCCACCATCCTGAGGATCCCGTCAGCAGAGGGGAGGAAAAAGGCCTTCTCCACCTGCTCTGCCCACCTCACAGTTGTGGTTGTCTTCTATGGGACCATCCTCTTCCTGTATGGGAAGCCCAAGACTAAGGACCCACTGGAGGCAGACAAGCAGGACCTTTCAGACAAGCTTGTCTCTCTCTTCAACCCCATCATCTATAGTCTAAGGAACAAGGATGTGAAGGCTGCTCTAAAGAATCTAGTGGCTCAAAAACACTTTAACTGAGTGATTGTCACAGATTCTCAGAACGCCAGAATACATGACCTTCAAACTTCTTGTTGTACAAGTGGAGAAACAGTAACCCAGAGAAGTCCGTAGGCTGACAGTGGAAAGAGCCTCTCTATTTCTGGCACTGCTCTGTTGGCTTCACACAGAACCATACTGTATCATATCTTAGCTATATTTTGCTGCTCAAATCTTAAATCCTCTGATACCAGAACTTAATGAATATCTGTGAGTCATAGATGTGGGCAATGGAGACAAACAAATAAGCAAAAACTTACAGTGGTACTGGGATCTTGGAGTATATTGTTTTATCCCGTATAGAACTGCTGCTTACTCTACTCTGCTTTGGTCTCATCCCAGAGAAATTTGTTATATCTGATGTAGGGATAAATTGGAAAATGTCATCATCCCAACATACGAGAGTGAACCTTAGCATTATGGTGTCTTAGCTCTAGAAATGGTGGGACTTAGCAGCTGTTTTGTTTTGATCTAATGAACACTATGAATCTGTCATTCACCACATTCTCTTTATTTTCACTGTAGAGAAGCTCAGAAGCAAATATGCCATGGCCACTGAGGTAGTAGTACAGTGTGGCATGAATAGGTGCCAGTGGCTCCCAAACTTTTTTCCAACCAACCAACATGACACATGGTAGTTACATCCAGCACACACTCCCACGGGTATGCCTACATTGTGATGAAACCTCAAAAGGATTGTGGGGAAGCAAATTCAAAAATAATTCTCAATCCCACAACTAATGTCAGGCCTGCAGTAACAATTACTCTCCACCATGTGGCACAGGTAAGATCAGCTGTGCACCTCCAGAACTCTGAACAAAAGTCCATGACTTTATCCTCTGCTCAAGGATCATATTGAAGCATGAGTGAAACAGACTGTATTATAGGGATCATTTTAAATCCACTTTAATTAGTATTTGTAAAAGTCAGTTGTTACTGAACTTTGATCCTTTAACCATTATTAGTATATAACAGGATGTTCTCTTTTTCTTTCCTCCCTCTTCATTCTACATCCCCATGTTAAATAGACCCAGGACCTTGCCTTGGATATATTTTTGTTGGTGGTAGTGCAATGGAGTCTGTAGAGGGGAACTAAACTATCTGGAATTCATCAGTTCCTTCGCCTTTTAAAAAGTCTAAGCCCACTAAAGAGATACATTTAGGTGCCCTGAAGGGGAAGGGGAAGGGAAAGTGGAAGAGAAGAACACCCTTGAGAATAAGAAGAAAGGAGGGATTCCTAGAGGCAGGGAAAGGGGCAGGGGTTGGCAGACTCACCTACTACTCCATGGCAGCGTCCTAAGACCTAGGAAGGAATGGTTGCTTGATGCTCCCACAGCAAGCTTCTCAAAAATGTTGACCCCCCCTCACTGGTAGATTTCATAGTGAAGAGGATGGCCTTTGGGCCCTCCCAGGAAAAATAGCTGGGGGGTGGTTTCTTTGATCTCACATAATAAGTCCATTCTAACATTCACACACTCCCTGAACCTTCTGATCTCTTCTTCCATACTCTGCAAAAGCAATTCCAGCCTCCTTACCCCATTTACTGTAGATTATTTTCATGTCCCAGCTTCGTGAGCCCATCATAGCAGTGATTAGGAGGTGTTCTAGCCAAGCCTTTTATCCTAAGTCAGGGAGATGCCACCATATCAAGAAACTCTCCCCATCTAGTCTTGTATACTCTTCAATCCAACACCTTCAAGATCTACTCCCATGCATATTCCTCCAGTTGCTCCTGGTATATACATATTCCCCCAGTTGCTCCTGGTACATTGCTCCTGGTCCTAAAATTCTTTTGGTGAGAAAGCTATTTTGTCTCAGAGCAGGAACTTTACTGAGTGGAGGTATGACAGGAGGCTGGACTGGATCTTCAGGATGATATATACTTTAGATGAAGTCTTTGCATGATCTCCAGGCAAAGGGAGGGGATTGCTTCTGTTGGCCTGGAGGATTCAGGGGAAACTGAGGGTTCATGATTCTCAGGTGTATTCACCAAATATCCTTATCTCAGGACTCAAGATCCCACTCTTTACCTATCAGAACCTTACTTTTAGCATTGGAGACCTGTGCTGCACATTCAGCCTCACATTCAGCTCTGCCATTTGGTTTTTAAAAGTTTGTAAAATCAAAGGTATCAGAGATGCCAGAAAATGATCCAAACTATCAAAACTTAATATATATGTCAGATAAAAATTAACAGCACAAAGAAGGAATCACTTTTTAATAAATGGTGAGACAGCAACAATATTCAATCAAATGAAGATTTGCCTTTGATCCATACATCACACCATATGCTGCAAAAAACTTCAGATGGATGAGTTAAACATAGAACACCAACATGATTACAAAAAGCTAAAAGAGAACAGAATGACATATTTATTCCAGCTGTGGAAGAGCTTGCTTCATTATTTTGGAAGAGAAAGAGGGTATCAGAGTTAAAATATATGTGTTTTACAAAACTCTTGTATAAAATAGTCTGATCAAATAAGAATCAAACTTCTCCCAAATGGAGGTTTGTCAGGGTTCCACAAGTATTTAAGTTTCTTTTAAAAAAATACATTCTAAATAACTTTCAGTATGTGTAAAACAATGTTGTTACTGTTGTTGTTAGGTGCCATCAAGTTGGTTCTGACTCATAACAACCCTATGCACAACAGAACTAAACATTGCCTGGTCCTGTGCCATGTTCACAGTTGTTGCTGTGTTTGAGCCCATTGTTGCAGCCACTGTGTCAATCCATCTCGTTGAGGGTCTTCCTCTTTTTTGTGGACCCTTTACTTTACCAAGCATGATGTCCTCCAGGGACTGGTCCCTCCTGATAACATGTCCAAACCATGTGAAATGAAGTCTGACCATCCTCATTTCTAAGGAGCATTCTGGCTGTACTTCTTTCAAGACAGACTTGTTTGTTCTTATGGCAATCCATGGTATATTCAATATTCTTTGCCAAACACCATAATTCAATATGCCCCATAAGGTTGTCCAGGGAGTGGCTGGTGGACTCTAACTGTCAACTTTTTGGTTAGTAGCCTGAACTCTTAACCACTGCACCACCAGGACTCCAATAATTCAATAGACACCCACAAACTTGTCTCAGTTTTGAACACACTAGTGGCCACTACCACATTATCATGTGTGCTGTCGAATTGACTCATTTTTTTTTCTTTAGGGTGTCCAGGGGCCGTACTCTCGGGGTTTCTCCAGTCTCTATCAGGCCAGCAAGTCCGGTCTTTTTTTATGAGTTAGAAGTTTTTTTCTACATTTTTCTCCAGCTCTGTCCGGGACCCTCTACTGTGATCCCTGTCAGAGCAGTCAGTGGTGGTAGCCGAGCACCATCTAGTTGTACTGGACTCAGTCTGGTGGAGGCCATGGTAGTTGTGGTCCATTAGTCCTTTGAACTAATCTTTCCCTTGAATTTTTAGTTTTCTTCATTTTCCGTTGCTCCTGAAGGGGTGAGAACAGTGGAATATCTTAGATGGCCGCTCACAGGCTTTTAAGATCCCAGACACTACTCAACAACGTAGAATGTAGAACATTTTCTTTATAAACTATGTTAACGCCAATTGAGCTAGATGTTCCCTGAGACCCTGGTCCCCACAGCCCTCAGCCCAGCAATTTGGTCCCTCAGGGAGTTTGGATGTGCCTATGGAGCTTCCATGAGCTTGCCTTGTACAAGTTGTCCTGGCTTCTCCAATATTGTGTACTGTCTTACCCTTCACCAAAGTTACCACTTATCTATTGTCTATTTAATGTTTTTCCATTCCCACCCCTCCTCTCCCTTCTAACCGTCAGAGATTGTTTCTTTTTGTGTGTAAACCTTTACATGAGTTCTTATAGTAGTGGTCTCATACAATATTTGTCCTTTTGTGATTAACTTATTTCACTCAGCATAATGCCCCTGAGATTCATCCATGTTGTGAGATGCTTCACAGATTCATCATTGTTCTTTATCATTGTGTAATACTCCATTGTGTGTGTGTACCAGAGTTTGTTTATCCATTTATCTGTTGATGGGCATCTAGGGTGTTTCCATCTTTTCGCTATTGTGAACAATGCTGCAGTGAACATGGATGTGCATAGTCTATTTGTGTGACGATTCTTATTACTCTAGGATATATTCCAAGGTGTGGGATTGCTGGATCATATGGTATTTCTATTTCTAGCTTTCTAAGAAAACACCATATCGTTTTACAAAACGGTTGTATCATTTTGCATTCCCACCAGCAGTGCGTAAGAGATCCAATCTCCCTGCAGCCTCTCCAGGATTTGCTATTTGCTATTTTTTTTGATTCCTGCCAGTAATGCTGGGGTGAGATGGTATCTCATTGTGGTTTTGATTTGCATTTCTGTAATAGCTAGTGATCGCATTTCCTCATGCGTCTGTTAGCCGCTTGCATGTCTTCTTTGGTGAAGTGTCTGTTCATTTCTTTTGTCTATTTTTTAATTGGATTATTTGTCTTTTTGTTGTAGAGGTGTTGGATTTTCCTGTAGATTTTAGAGATTAGACCTTTGTTGGATTTGTAATAGCCAAAAATTCTTTCCCAGTCTGTAGGTTTTCTTTTTACTCTTTTGGTGAAGTCTTTTGATGAGCATAAGTGTTTAATTTTTAGAATGTCCCAGTTATCTAGCTTATCTTCTGGAGTTTGTGTGTTGTTAGTTATGGTTTGTATCCTGTTAAAGCCGTGCATTAGGGCCTGTAGCATTTATCTTAGTTTTTCTTCTACGATCTTTCTAGTTTTGGGCTTTATATTTAGGTTTTTGATCCATTTTGAATTAGTTGTTGCGTGTGGTGTGAGGTATGGGTCCTGTTTCATTTTTCTGCAGATTGACATCCAGTTTTGCCAGCACCGTTTGTTAAAAAGACTGTCTTTTCCCAATCTGATGGAATCTGGGCCCTTGTTGAAGATCAGGTGAGCATAGGTGGATGGATTTACATCAGGGTTCTCAATTCTGTTCCATTGGTTGAATTGAATCACTTTTGTACAGACCTCGGAATAAATCTTTTCCTGCCATCTCTGTGCATTTATTGATCTTCTTTAAATGTGTCTTTGAT